GGCTGTCATTCTACAATCTGTTGAAAATGGCGGAGATGTTGAGAGTACAACAGGCCAACGCTTTGCCGAAGCTCTTTCCCCAAAAGCGGCCGACACGGCTATGTCGGAGTTACGATCACTCTCTTCTTTAATAACTCCAAGAATCGCTAGCAGAAAACGCATTACTTCTGAGGACCTCTCAAGTGAGTTTCCGGTTCCTTTGCCAGGTACGGCATATTAGGTTATATGCATATATGTTAAGAAGTAAGTAGATGACTACACTACATGAACTCTATGTACATTTAGATAACCAACCTGTCTTTTGTCGATCAGGGATTAGGCTATCGGCGAACGCAATTGCCGAGGTTTCTTTTCCATCATAGGCATCTGGAAGTTCGTCCGTTGTGAGCGACTAGGAGCATCTATTTTCACGTGAACTGTAATGAGGATGACTCACGCGATACCCCTTCAAGTCTCCGTCTCTATGCTCTGGTAGCTAAATCCCAGTTTTGATGAATTTTTTTAAAAATTTACTCGAAAATTAGTGTCCAAACTTGTAGTAAATCCTTTAGTGCCTGCGTTGTCAGTAATTGGATTCTAATAACTGTCTGTTGTCTGCTTCTTAATATCGCGCGGTTATTCCGCAGTAACTGACGGACTTCAACTCACCAGGACTTTACACCAGATTTTGAACCAAGCCTGAAAGGGTTTGCTTTGAAGGATTTACTCTAAGTTCGTGCATTAATTTCTGGGGGAAATTAAAATGGACAAAGATAGTCTTTGCTTTGAGGTCGAGGTTAGAGCCTCCCGGGGTCATTACTAAGTGATGGACAGTCACTACTAAATTAGTTGTATCGGCGGCTACGTGGACTTCGAAATGACTATTTCCGGTCTACCCACTGATGGTAGCCAACTGGACCCGAACTTCGTGTCCTGGGAACCCCATGTATGAATTAACGTCTGTTGCCCATCGATTACTTTTCAAATCCGATACCGCATGACTTGGGCTGCCGTCGCATGTTGTCGCCAGATTTTAGTGCAGAAATTTGTACTCCTATCTCGCATTAAGGTTCCAAGTCCGGCAACCTTATATTATTTAGCATAACAATTAACACTAAATACTTGATAATGGTTGCTGAATGACGACAATGAATGTTGATTAAGAGTGAAAGAAGACTTTCTCTGCTCCACTGCTGTTAGTAGTTGTTCAGTTGTACAAATCCGAAAGAAGTGACTGAACGTGTTGCCCAAGAAGGTACCCTTACTTGCAGCAGCGCGTGACGGTTTGAAGCCCGAAGTGACTATATTCGACCTATTTGTTGCCAACAGCTTGCCGACATTGGTCTTCTCTCGCGATAAAATAGTTTTCATTAAAAAGGCTGGCGACGCTCCCCCTCCCACCCGCGCTTGTACTCTGCTTCCGCCACTTAGTCTTCCTTCTCCTTCCTTTTCACCCATTTAACAGAGGGCTTCTGCCTGTCAGATGTGGATCCGGCCAACATGGCTCTCCTTATGCTCCAGCCTCCATCGCCACCCCCACTGCTCTGTCATCCACCTCGAACTCCACGATCTATCCGAAGACCCCTCACAGCGCTGGTCACAACAGGTCGTAGGAGCAGAAGGGTAAGTCCTGGCTTCAGTTAACTTTTTACTCGCAACCTGTCAGCTGCCTTTATCTCCAGAGTTAAGATGAGGTCTCAGTTTACATACCACATACCGTCTTAGCCACTCCGATTTACTTTGACCAATCACTCTGCATTGCCCGTTTTCCGTCAGATTGCGTGTCTTGCTAAGTCACTTGGTTGGAATAATAAAACAAACAGGTGGCAGAAATGAGGGTTTTCTCATTACCTTCCACAGAATTCATTTATTGCGGCGTCCATCTGCCCTCTCGATAAGACTAATATTCACATATTTCCGTATTTTAAGAGTCCCTGTGCTTTGTCTTCTGAATGCTAGTTTCCTTTAATGCGTTAAGCAGCTAGTCCTTGGCTCGTTCGAAAACGAACAGTGCATGCTTCATTTGTCAGCTTACAAAGACCACCTCGTCTCCGCCAAGGGGTGTATCAACCACCCTAATAGATAGTAATGGCATACGCCTGAACTCGTGTTTTTACGAAAATCGAAGTGTGGGGAATTTGGTTTTCAAACAGGCCTCAGATATCCGCTTGGTATTGCCCAATACCGAAAGTTATCCGACTTTCGGTATAAGGCTTCAGTAACATGCGTATCTTACAGCCTGCAACGCCGTGTGACGTTTCTTGATTGGGTAGTCCCCCAGATGCCGAGGCTTTGTCAATAATAGTCCGTGTTGGCCTGTTTTTAAGGAGAGTCCGCTTATTTCACAGCTTACCTTCGCTGAAGGCAGTTGACCTATCCGTCACCCTTAGGCCCACCGGTTAGTCAAACGCCAGGTTAACAGTTCAACCGCTATTCACAGGTAAGTCCCTCTCCTGGAAGTCGGTTTTTTACAAGTGAAGCATTGCTTGCCGGAAGAAATATGAGCGAGGAAAAGACCATGAGACTGGCAGAACTTAATGACGTCATGCAATTCCGTGACATCTTATTCAACTGCCTACGATCATTGGCTATTTATAGGATAGTGAACTGTCCAATTAAGTGTCGACCTCGAAGGCTGAAACTTGATAGGTAAATAGATTAGGAGCTATCCGTCTTAGATGCGGGTGCACATGGTGAGGGGGGAAATG